TAAAACATTTCCTAGATAATTCTTTTAAATCATTTCACTCCAAGCAAGGCAATAAATCCACTAGGATGCAAAAGGTTATTGAGTGTTAGAGAATATGAGAAAAACTATTAAGGAGAGAGGGCAAAAACAAGAATTAAGACAGAAGATAACGAATGACATGACATTTAAATTTTTGATTGACTGAGAAACAAGAAGCTAGAAGAGAGTTCCACAAAGAAGATGTGCAATAAAAGAAACTATTAGTATAGAGCTTATGGTTACATCTAGCCCTTTCAGCCACAAAATGATGAGACCTAGCTGTCAATCTAGTACTGCACTTAAATTCATAAAATCTAGGTACAATAGAGGAAAGTTCATCATAACAATTACCATGAAAGTATTTATAGAAAAGACACAGAGGAGCTAGGTTACGGCCATGAGAAAGGGACTCAAGCTGAGATGCCAGGTCAGGACCAATAACATTGCAGATTCTTTGGACTTTATCAAGAATCTCTAAATATATAGCAGGAGTACCAGACCAGTTGTGGCAGCAATATTCGAAATGGTAGACTTATAAATATGTAAGATAGATTCTGACAAGAAAAATTTTCTAGCATGACATGATGAACAAACTTTCTTAGCTGCAGACTTAGCAATTGATTCTATATAATCTTTCCACTTCATTTAAATTTTTATTCAGTGTTTCCTTGTAGATAAAATGGGATTCATCCATGTGGGGCCAAATATGCATGAAGTCATTTCAAGAGTTCTGAAAAGAAGTAATCTATGTCAAGTAAATCTTTAGGGACCAAACAGAAATTAAAAAAAAATAAAATAAACAAGAATACAAATAAATATGGTGAAACATGGGATTACCTCCCTCAGATATGCAGCCACATGACTAGGGTCAGGTGATGATCAGCTGAAGCCATATCCTGTAAATGAACATCAAAATATCCAGTGTGACACATCATTATCCTTCCTGTTATAAAATAAAATAAGACATATCTCGGCTGATTTACAGGCAAATAAACTAACATACTCAAGAGCGAGAGCCGGATGTGGACGGGACAAAGCCCCGTCACAAAATGACCATTATCTTCGTTTACAAATGTTCCCGACGCACGAGTTCCGGTCAAAAAATAAAATAATATTTAAAGTGTTCTATTTTTCATCCAATAAAAATGCTTCCCTCCTAATTATACTTGCTTCGTTTTTCGAGCCTGTTAAGCCATAAAAAAACGCCATAAAAGGGGTCACAGGGAAGTACAACAGGCAGTCAACAGGTGGCCAGGGAAGAGACCTGTCACAGTCAGGCCGAGCTGTCAGCAAGGGAGCGCCAGCGTCAACATGTGTGAACTACTATGAGAGATCGACCTAGATCCAAAGCCGCTTATGAACTATACCACAATGTAGCTGTCCCAAACCCTCATGTTCCTGTTGAAATAAATCTCGTAAATCTATTTCTGCTGTTGTCATATTTCTTTCTTGCAACCATACGCTTGTCTATAACATTCCCATAATCTTTTTCTGATGCAAGAGCTCAAGAAATTAGTATTTGACAGTCTACATACTCTTTCACACCCCGGAATATCAGCTTCGATAAAAATAATCAGATCAGAAGGTTGCATGTTCAAATCATATCAAGGTCACCAATGTGGGATTTTTAATGGTGGGGAGTTACGTGTTTACAGGTGATTATCTGAAGATAATGTCCTTAATCCAAATATACACCAATTTTTGCCCTTTTAAAAATGTATGCAAAGATATTTAGTACAAACATATACTTTGTATGTACTGATAAAATTTTATATCTCTTAAAACATGAACTCTTTAAATATATCAGAAAGTTCTCATGTTGAACGTCTAAGGTCCTTTAGCATATAAGAGAGAGAAAATGTGTACGTATATAAGTATCTAGTTAATAGTAGTAATCCTTTAGACTCTCTGTTCGATTTTTAGGTGTCTGAAAATGTAGGCATGGGAGAACAGACAAAATTCTTTCAGTTGACTCGTTAGCTCCTTACCCTGTTCATCTTTGTGTTTTTCACTTTTTTTTCCAAGACAAAGGAATTTATTCCATAATTGTTTCTTGATTTCTGATTGGTTCACCGATGTGATTCATTTGAACATCCCCCTTTCCTTCACCTACATTTAGGAATGATGACCTTTTGGCCTCTTTTATTTATTTCCTTATCTTTTGTTTTTTATTTCTTTACGGCAAACCAAAATGGTTTTTCAACTTTTAGCTTTTTTATTTTTATTTTTTTCTGTTTTGAAATAATGAAGTTTTTATTTTTTTTATTACTACACCATCATAAAAATTCAGGATGTGAAATAAATGATGACAAAAAACTTCAAATATTTTGGCATATGGATCAGTTAACAAATTAAATATAGAAGAAATTATCTTGTTAGTATCAAATACAGTGGGGTCAGCGGTGATGACACCTACCCTGAATCCATTGATAGTTTACATGTGGTTATCTTCGGATAACATCCTTAATTCAAATATACACCAAGTTTTAGCCTTTTAAAACTGCATGCAAAGATAATTAGTACAAAGATATATTTTGCATGTACTAACAGAATCTTATAACTCTTAAAATATACAATATTTAAAGAGTTTGTAAGTTCATAGCAGAAAGTTCTTGTGTTGAATGTCTGAAGTCCTTTAGCATATAATAGAGAGAAAAAAAGAGTCCTTGTAGATGTGTATGTACATATGTAAGTATCTCTTGATATTGGTAATCCTTTCAACTCTGAGATTTTTAGGCATAGGCTTGGACAACAGTCAAAATTATTTCATTGACTCTCTGCTGTCTTTTCTTGGTTGTCTTTTTTGCACTTTTTTCAAGACAAAGGAATTCATTCCAGAATTGTTTCTTGATTTCTGATTGGTTTACAGATATGACTCATTTGAACATCCTTTTTTCTTCACCTACATTTAGGAATGATAACCTTTTTGACTTCTTTTATCTTTTTTTTTTTATTTTATGGCAAACCAAAATGGTTTGCCAATTTTTATTTTTTTTTTTTTTTTTTGAAATAGTGAACTTTTTATTTTTCTATCACTACACACTAATATAAAATTGTCATTTCAAAAATCTTCCTTTTTTTTTTTTGTCCTTTTGATCTGTTCATCTGCTGCCAAGCAAATAAGTTGCTCCATGGCACTTATGTTCTTGTTTATATTTTTGTGCTTTTGCTGTTAGGTCTAGAGACGAAGGTTGACTTTGAAACCAGGACATGCAGTCTATGATAAACCATTATCGGTTACAAGAGAACTCTGACAAAATAACAAAATCAACAAATAATGACATAAAACATATTTATAAATTAATTCAATTCTTCATTTTGTTTTGGGAAATTCATCAATCACATTGTTGTAGAAAATGCCAGCATCACACTCGACATTCATTTTCAAAATGAAGATGCAGTTAACTCTACTGCTTTTTTTATTACTTTTCTTATCTTTCACTCAACCATAACCTTCTTTCATCTAGTTTTTATGGTGCAGGAGTGGCAATCAGAAGCAGAGACTTTCTCTGCTTACAATACAATACTAATATCACTTGTTCACAATTTATCCTAAGAAATGAATGGGAAATTTGAAAAAAATCCTCATGAGTCTAAGGAGGATAGTAAAAATTACCATTTTTTTTATTTCACAAAAATTATGTCTTATAAAAAAAACTAAAGAATGCATTGCATACCTGGGCCCTTCACCATTGGTTTGTTCCTTATAATATTTTTTTTACCTTTTTAAACAGTTTAGAATAAAATTCTCTCACCAGATGGCACTGTTACTATCTTTTCAATTTACAGAAATTTCACTTACCTGGTGACACTATATCTCCCTCTTTTAATTACTAATTTATTTTTCTCCAATAGTCCAGCATTTGTAAAAGAAAGAAAATATTAATGATTTTTATCTTTTTTCATTTGTTTTCTTTTTATTGATTAATGTTACTTTTTTTTATTATTTTCTGAAGTTTTTGTTCACCTGTACAAAATAAGGACAAATGATTTGAAATTATTAATTTTTTTTCTCTGCATTTTTTTTTAACCAGTTCACTTTTTTTTATTACCTCACTTTAGGGAGGGGGATTTTTATTTTATTTTTTATTGATTAATGATTTTTTTTTTCATTATTTTCTAAAGTTTTTTTATTTACAAATGCAATATAAGAACAAATTAATGAAGGTATTCTTTTGTTGTTTTTTTTTTTTTTCTCTTTGTCATTTTTTAACCTGTTCACTTTTAATGCCTCATATGAAAAGGGGTAATTTTTATTTTATTTATTTTCTAAATTTTTATTCATGAATGCAAAATTAGAGCAAATTAATGATTTAAAGTTATTCTTTTGGGATTTTTTTCTCTACATTTTTTTTTAACAAGTTCACTTTTTTAATACGTCATTTTGGGGAGGGGGATTTTTATTTTATTTTATTTATCAATGATTACATTTTTTTTTCATTATTTTCTAAAGTTTTTATTCACAAATGCAAAATAAGAACAAATTATCATTTAAAGATATTTTTTTTTATTTTCTTTGCATTTTTTCACCTGTTCTCTTATTTTAATGTATCACTTGGCGGTTGAGGCGATTATTATTTTTTTTTTTTTTTTTGCATTATTTTTTTTAAGTTCTTATTCACAAATGCAAAATAAGAAGTTTAAGATTTGAATGTTTTTTTTGTCTTTTTTTTTAAACCTATTCACTTGTTTTAATGTCTCCCTTTGAGGAGGGGGATTTTATTTTATTTTATTTTTTAACCTATTCACTTGTTTTTTTTTTATTGATTAATGATTACATTTTTCTTTTCATTATTTTCTAATGTTTTTATTCCCAAATTCAAAATAAGGAATGATTTGAATCTATACTTTTTTTTTTTTTTTTATTTTTTGCTGTTTAAACTGTTCACTTGTTTTAATGCATCCTTTTTACGGTGATTTTTATTGTTCTCCATGTCTTCCTCGTGTTCCTTTGCAGACATGTCGCACGGGAAAGATCATTGATGAAGACGCTGTCCTCTGCCAGTTTCACCTCAGCCAGTTCAGTAACAAACCTAACCAAGGCCGGTCGCCGGAGTAGCAGCATCGTGACAAATGTTCACGAGCCACCGCACCCTCCAAATATGAGCTCTCAGGCAGAAATAAGCAGCAGCAGCCGAGCCAAGATGCCGGAAACATCTGTTGGAGAGTACACCAAGTTGGAAATGGTTAAGGTTGATATTGATAACAACATGGTAAGTGCAAACCTTGAGCAACCAAATGTGTTCTGTAAACTTAACAAAATTTAATGTGAAGAGAGAAAACAACACGTCTACAGAATTTAACTTCTACAAAATTCACAGTGTCTTTGGCAAAATGTGGGTGCGTTATCAAATCTGGTTTGTTTGCTACCCTCATGGAAAATGCAAGATGGGGAAATCTTGTCACAATAACAATGATTAATAACTTCACTTTACCTAGCCAGGCTTTAGAAAATAACACTTTATAATGCTCATAGCTGACATGTTATTATCTCCATGTTCCCCTTAACTAGATGGCTATCCTACTGATGATGGATTCTTCACTAGAAAATAAAAATAATGATAATTATAAAATTTGCAGATGGTTGTCGTATAAAAGGGATGTCTGATTTTTCTCTAGTTTAAAATTAATTTTGCCCTTACCAGTTTTCAAGCCTTGTACAAACCTTTTTTTTTTTTTTTTTAAAAAAAAAAAAAAAAAAAAGCAACTCACCCCATATAAGGCAGGAGTGCCACTAGCATGCAAGTAGTTACATAGGTATGAGAACAAGAGTAAAGAGTCATATTTGGGGAAAGGATAAAGAGCAGAATGGGGAACAAGCTCAGGACGTCAGATGTCAATTGACATTGCACTTGAATATTTGAAGATTATAGTCATCAGGGAAGCAAGTAAAAGGAAGGGAGTTCCACAGATGGGAAGTGCAGGAGAAGAAGCTGTTTGAGTAGAAGAAACAGTTACATTTAACCATTTTGACAGTGAAAGGATGGGAGCAAGATGCCAGCCTGATAAATTCATGCAGTCAGGGAACCAGTGAAAGTAGCTCATTGGAACAGTTGTAATGAAAATACTTGTAGAAGAGACAGAGGAAGGCCACGTCACATCTATGGGTTAACGACTTTAGACTAGATGCCAGATCAGGACCTATCATCTTGCATATTCATCTCTGGATTTTTTCGAGGACCTCAAGACGTACACTTACACCAGACCATATATGACAACAATATTCCATGCAAGGACGGATGGTTGATTTATAGATTTCAAGGATGGGCTCAGACAAGAAAAACTTTCTGGCATGACACAGAGAACCAACTTTCCTTGCAGTAGATGAAGCTATTGATTCAATGTTTTTCAAACAAACACTGTGACCACCCAGATGGAGTCCATAAAAAAATATATCCATGTGCCACCTATTGGCACACCAACCACATTCTGGCTGAAAAGGTATTTTGTATTGATAATATATTAATCTTAATTAATCAGCTATTGATATAACTTCTCATTTCCTTCTTCCAATTTCTGGTCAAGGGTTCATGTCCTCCTGAAGCCAGAGTTGAATTTGTGGAGAGGGAATGTTTTTGCAGCATTTCCTAACAGGATTGAAACGACCACGAAACAACAGCTATTCAGTTCTAGTGTATATAAAAGATAGGTTGTCAATGTGTTATAGAGTAGTTTCACAGTGGAGGCTTGTATTTCACTAAGTCGGTCCTAAAATAGGTTCGACGTACAAAACATTAGGAACTTGATGTAATAGTTAATGACGCAGCAATCTAGTTGTGGTGGCTGATACTTTAATATCTGACTAACAGTCGTCCGACATCAACTGACTGCCCAACTCAATGAGCCACTTAGCGACTGCTACTACTCCTACTTCTACTTATTATAGGTGGGAGAGTCTATTAACAATAGAATAGGTGTTCCAGTATAACACAGTGGTATGCAAACATCATCATAATAAAAATATGGTTATATGTTTATGCTTTAAACAGCTAACACAATGATTGGAAAACAAAAACTGCAAAATATTCTTCAATTTCAAAGCAATAACTTAATTCCTTTTCTTTTTCTGCATTCTTTGCAGCAAGCAGATGGAACTCACATTGGCCTTGTCTCACCTGAAATGCAAAAAAAACGTGTACAAGACATTTTGAAACGCATTCCGCCCGGAGCTGAATCTACAACTGTACTTGTTGGTTGTGTAGATTTTTTGTCCAAACCTGCAATGGCCTTTGTACGCTTGGCTGAAGGGCAGGTTCTGTCCAATCTGACTGAGGTACCATTACCAACGCGTTTCATCTTTGTATTGCTTGGCCCCGAGGATGGTGGAATGGATTACCTTGAAGTTGGTCGATCTCTTTCCACCTTAATGTCCAACCAGGTAAGTGAATAACTGTTGATGTTTTCTTTTTTTTTTTAGCAATTAACTTTGATAATGAAAGCTCTGCTGTGTCCATTATATCAAATATTTAGTTGTGTGTATCAGTCTCAAAAGACCATTAATTTTTCATGCTCAAAAGTTAGATTCATGTAGTTGCAAAGAGAAGCAGAAATGGCCACAGATGTCGCATGTACCAGCCTCTCCCAATGATGTAGTTACTTCATCCTTGTTCTTTTGATTTCTCTATGATGAGCCAATGTTGTCTCAATTTATGTCTGTCACTGAAAGTGCTGTTGAGTAGTGTTCACCCAAGGGAAAACTATTGTTATTTGGAGATAATATACACCTCTAACTTTGGGCTATGAAATTCTAGAAAAAACGGTAAATTTTCATTTTAACACCCGAGCGCTAATATCCCTTCAAATTTTTCCCAAATAGTCTTATTTCCGTGCAAATGTATATGCTGAACTCAAATCAAAAATTAGATATTAAAGAAACCTACAAATTTTTGATGTTAACGATGTTGAAAAAAAAATCGGACTTTTTCCTGGTCTTTTTGTTCAGCCATTATTATTTATCTTTTTTAATTAATGCTGAATAGTGTCGGTGGATGTATACAATTTGGGCCTATTTACTTCCTTCACAGTAATTCCTTGTAGTTAACTTTCAAATTAAGGTTAGGTGTTTTTTTTTGTTTTTTTTTTGTTTTTTTGGTTATTCTTTTATTTTTTTTTCTTAAAGAAGAAAGTTAACTTTCAAATTAGGGTTAGGTGTTTTATTTTTTTTTTGGTTATTCTTTTATTTGTCGATGTTTACATATATTTCAAAGTTAACTTTATTCTTAAATTAAGTACAAAGAAAAATCACTTTACAAGCGCGTACTAATTTCTTAAAGAAAATATTTCAGCAGTAAATGACGCTCGGGTGTTAAAATGAAAATTTACCAAAGAGACATCCTTCATGTATAATAAACATTGTCTTTTTAGAAATTGTGGCAGCTAAATTTAAAATTTATATACCCCCCCCAAAAACAAAACTAACAACCCTTACCATTACCTAGATTAAAGACATTTCCAACCAATGAGGTATTTCAATGAGACATTTTTTGATAAGCACTTTGTTTCTGAGCCTGTTTACAATGATGCTATATCTGACTCAGGATAATAAAAAAAAAAGGAATGATCTCCAGGTAGCAGTAGCAGAAAATGTTGAGATTATTTTCAATCAATCAGAAGAGCAGAATTTGAAACTAGCAACAATTTTGAAAGGTGGCTTAGAGTCTACTGGCTCAAATATAAGGAAAACAGCCAACTTGTTTAATTACTATTCATGATGCAAATCAGAGTAGATAGTCAGAGAGACATAAGTCATCAGATCAAGTAACATTCAGAAGAGGATACTAGACTTCAAGATACGATGAGCACAACCAATAATACTAGGCAATCAGTTATGTGCCATGTGTGATACACACTTAGGCAATCATATATCTTTCAATACATGACTGATGAGGCAGATTTTTTCCTGCAGTGGGTTGCCATTTCTTTCTGCGGTAAACCAGTTGCAATCCAAGGCTATAGAACCTGGTCTACCCTGCTATTTACCCATAGCTGGGGAGAGAAGATGAGGATTCATACCTTTACCGAGGGTATCAGCATGTAAGTGAATGTAATGGATTCAATTGGAATTTGAACTCGGCTCTCCAATTTCTCAATCTGAGCTGTGCCTCCCAAATGGCTAATGGACACATACAAAAAACACAGAACAATAAGTTACAAAACAATTAACAAGACAACTTACAAGGAATACAGGAGGGTCAAATGCTATAGTTAAAGTTTAAATAAGCCATTTCTTTCTGCGATAGACCAGTTGCCATCCAAGGCTACAGAACCTGGTCTGTCCTGCTATTTACCCATAGCTGGGGGAAGAAGAAGAGGATTCATACCTTTCAAAACCTTAAAACCAAAGTTTTTAACTTGTTCATCTGAAACTACCCTTAAGCAGACCAAATCTTCCTGGATGAGATGAGACAACTTTCTCGCTGCTACTATAATTTTACAAAGCTTTGCCAGCTTCAACAAGTTTGATAAAATTCATTCAGTACTTCTTTCACTATGATGTTGACCTAACAATCACAACACAAATCAGAACAACACCTTGTGAACTTCAATGTCACTTCCTTTACTAAGTGACTTATTTTTAACTGTAGCAACTAATCTAAGTCATCACATTCTTATGAACAGCTTTCTCTATCTAGCTTAATTTCTTTAGGAACTCCAAAGAATACTGTAAGCAAGCCTCTATCCAGCTTTGGGAATGCATCCTTGGCCATCCCAGTATGTCTATGGATCAGTGTTGCACTTACCGTCCTCTGTCAAAACACTTCCCAGATATTTAAACTTCTGCACCTGCTTGATTTTAGAGTCCCTGACCTGCAAATCCCATTTCAGGCTCATCTTTTTTTTTTAAAGAAAAGAGTGTTGAGCTGTTATGTGATATCTGTCCTCCTTTAATTAAAGCTTAAAATTTACACTTTTTTTTGTTGATAAACTACATTTTCTAATTAAATGTAAATGTTTCGCAAATATATTTTGATTAAAGTAACAGTATTTTATATTTTTTTTAAACCCTTTTGTATCTGGTCTTAAGATTTTGACCAGGGGTGTATAATATGACCACAGCTTCTACGCAATAAGAGTAGGCCTATCATAGCCAAATATTGCAGCACTGGGCATCATGCTGGACATATTTGATAGCAAACAAATGATCCATTTTTTTTTCTTTTTTGGTACAAATAATACCAGTAAATGCAAAGGATATAATAAATAATAATAATAAATATAAATAAAGTCTTTGGAAACTTGTACAAATGAAGATGAATGCAAATTAGAGAAAAGAAAAAAAACACATTGTTTTTTCTTCATTTATATAAGGTAATTGTAGATTTTAAGCCGAACATGTAGTGAATGGCATTCTGCTGTTTATGTAGCAAGAGAAAGAAAGAATCTAGGATATGGGAGGCATCCTGAAGTAGCTTACCTTTACTGTTCAAGCTAGCCAAAGGTGTTGTGAGAATGTAGGCTTACCAGGTAGATTACAGTCACCAAAAGTGCATGATTTCTAATCTCTTCAAAAAAAGAAAATAGCTGTGTATAATGGGAACCCCTATATTTTGTGTAAAAAAAAATGGTCAGAAAAACTAGCATTATACTCAAGTATATACAATAAATTTTTGTAAATAAAGAAATTCATTTTCACCCTAAGTCTTTTATCTCGTGTCTAAAGATAACTAATTGATATTTACTTTTTGTATATGGGGAAAATACCCATATACTGAGTAAAAATAATTTTACAATTGTCTTAGTGACTTAGCTGGCGCATATGTTACGACCTTCTGCCAATGCTTCATGAATAATGGACTATTTCGTTTTGATTGTGGGGAAATATGGAAAAGACATATCAGAGACACTGAAAAAAAAAAGAAAGTGAAGGCAATAATGCTCTCACGTGTTTAATGTCTGCTTCATTGAAATGGAAAAAAGTGTCCATTTTAAATCTTTTCATTTGTACCCTCTTACTTCTTTAACATTTTAGCATTCAAAAACACCTCATAAATATCAGCTCTCAAAGTCTCACTGTTTGACTTCCTGTGTTATTTTGCGATAATGTCATCATAAATTATGGTAGACTATACATGGGGTGAGTTACAGCAGGTTAAACATTGAGAACCAGTATTTATGCATCCTGTGTATGAAGATAAACTACATCTGGCAGCAAGACCTCTGATAGGGAGGTTATGAGGAGCATGGAACCATCTCTTAATTTCTGGTGTTCCCAGGACCATCCTGACCTAGAGTGGTAGCACCTGTTAGGGTCCCAGCTATGGGCAAATAGTTAACCCCCAAACTGAGGTCAAAACACTATGAAAGTGTAAAAATAGGTTTTAATACTAGGTAGCATTCTTGTAAAAATTTATTACCAGCAATAAATTTTTGAAGAAAAATTATTACCAACGGTATATTTTTGAAGAAAAAATATTGTCAGCAATAGATTTTTGGGAAAAAAATATATATTAGCAGCAATATTTTTTTTTTTTTTTTTTTGAAAAAAACTCCCAGCAATAAAAATCCTGTTGGCATTAAATAACCCATTGAGGTTGATATGCTATAAAACAAACCAAACTAAAAGCTGATATTTATGGTGTGAGTTGAATGCTAATGTATTCATATATGATTATGACTGAAATATTTTGTTAAATTAAGTTCAAATGTTTAACACTACAAGAGGGCAATGTTTATAGGTATGTCATAGAACTCACAAAGAACTTATACAATCATTAAATTAAGAATGATTGTTCACTACTTAGTGGAGTTTTACTTTGTCTGTTCTTAGAGTTTCTTGAATCTGGTCGTCTACAGTTTTACTTAAACGATCAACATATTTCTGATATATTGATGGTTTGTTTTACGGCATATCAACACCTCAATGGGTCATTTAATGCTGACAAGATTTTTAGGATAGGTTTGTATGAATAGAATATGTATTCTTTGTAAGAAATCAGTTTGTAGATCGGGTTTGGTTTGTTTTACAGCTAATCAACACCTCAATGGGTTATTTAATGCTGACAAGATTTTTATTGCTGGTAATATTTTTTTCATTTCAAAAAGGTATTGCTGGTAATTTTTTTTTCTATACAATTTCATAGTGCTTTAGATTTAGCCATTTCAACTGTGAAATGATGAGACCTAGCTGCCAATCTAGTACTGCATTTAAATTTGTAAAGTTGAGGTTGCAAAGAAGAAAACTCATCAAAACAATTACCATGAAAATATTTACAGAAAAGACATGGGAAACTAACTGAAGCTGAGATGCCAGGTCAGGACTAATAACATTTGTTGTAATGGAATGTCCCACACTCCCTATCGCCTAAGTGGACTGACTATATCAGTAGATATATAGTGTAGACAGGATATACCTGGCGGACTTGCTTCGGGAATTACTAGCTTGCTAACCGATTCCCTGTCTTTTAGTAGTGTATTCTCTTTTACAATAAACCTCTCTTTCGTCTATGCACGTGTTGCTGTTCCTTTCACTTGAATACTACCTTTGTCTGTAACTTTCTTTAAGGATACAGACAACATTGCAGATTCTTCTCCAAGTCTAGAGTCAACCTTATAATCTGCACTTATTTCCTCCTTTTACATTCATGAAACAACCTCCTTCAGTAAACCTCTATCTTGAGTGGCTTTTGGGCTTAATAAAAAAAAAGATATGTTTAGCAGAACAATCAAGATTAATTAAAGAGTTTGGTTCAAAATTCCAGTGAAGGCTACCCATATCAACAAGTACCTGAAGGGCATAAGGTCCAAAGCATGTTAATTATGGAAGAAGCAAATGTTGCATATTATGTGGATATGTCAGGTAGATAACGGTTGACCCTTGACTTAAAAATGAGCATAATAGTGAAAATAGAAATTTTTTCCATATTTTTTTTTTTTTTTTACAGCTTTAACCCTCTGCAGGTTATTTAAAGCCAGAAAATATTTTTAGATTCTAAAAAATTTTGGGGAGATAATAAAGACTTACTGATACAAGTCATACTAATTAACCCATGGCTGGGGGAAAAAAAGTGGGATTCATACCTTTCCCAAGAGTATCCATATAAGTGAATATAATGAACACGAGTGAAATTGGAACTCGGCTCTCCGATTTCCAATTCTCAACCATCACCATCACACCACTCGCTCATCCAAACTTGCAACACTTGGTACTCCCTAGCAGTCACCCATCTAGGTACTGACCAGGTTCAGTGTTGTTTAACTTTGGTGATTGTATGAGAACAATTGTCTGATATATTTCACATAGAATCTAAACGTAATGTTTCAATTCCTGGATCTTTGTGAGATTGGTATTTACACACATCAAAAATAATGTCTTGCTTTTTCTTTTTAACAAATAATGTTCTCATCTTTCAGAACTTCCATGACGTCGCATATCGAGCGGAAAGCAGAGAAGAATTCTTACATGCCATCAACGACTTTTTAACAGAATCGATTGTCCTTCCTCCCGGTGACTGGGACCACAAAACCCTTTTGCCAATCATGGATATGGCCCGGAAACGAGCACATCTTCGACTTAGAAAAAAGCAGAAGCAGGTAGAAAAAGAGGGTATGTACAAGTACACCAGTTTGGTTAAGGATAACAAAGCCTGGTAAGTCTGCAGGAATAATTCCATGAAGACTTTTGGCTGTTTTGGAATTGGGTTAAAAATTTATTTGTAAAAGCTAAAGTGACTGCATAAAATTCAGATGTTAATATCTACATTTATTTCCAGAAAAATATTTACCTTCGGACAGAAAAGGATTTAATTTTTTTTTTTTTTTTTTTTCTTCTTTCATAGTTCTCGACTCAGCTCTTCAAAGATCTCATCTAACTTGAATCTATGCATTATACTTATATAAACTCTGATGTTAATTTTGAGAAGGGTCATTAACATATCCAACATTGTTTAGACACTCAAGTCTCTTTGTCTAGGAAACTCATCCCAGAATTTATGTACTTGTGACCAAGAAATGAGGGATCAGTTTCGAACTTGGTAATAAGAGAAAACTGATCCCTGACTTTATGTCCATATTATAGTTTGTAGATTACTTCAACAATCACCTTTTTTCTAGATTACTTCAACAATCACCTTTTTTCAGTTATGTACAATTGGATTCAATGTATTTTCAAAAAAAAAAACAAAAAAAACAGCAAATATCAAAACAAGATAATCCTTTACAAATTTGCTAGGGCAAATTTTTTTTTTTGTCCCCCCCCCCCAATCTTACATGAAGACAACAAAACAGACTGCACTGTTAACATGTAATAGTGATTTTCTAAGCATAGCTTAGATGTGGTACAACCTCAAAAGTATGAGGCACCCAGTGAAGATCAAACACACTACTCAGTTGTAATTCTCCTAATGAGACAAGCTTGCTAATCATTACACCACATCAAAGTCCTGAAATAATTTACCAAGCATAGCTTAGATGTGGCACAAGGCCAAAAGTATGGGGCACCCAGTAAGGATCAAACTTACTACTCAGTTGTAATTGTCCTAGTAAGACAAGATTGCACTACATATATATGAAATGAGAACAAAGCAAATATAAATTCAAATGTTCACAACATTAATTTAAAAATAGTGCTCAATATAATAGTAAAGCAATATTCTTTATTATAGGATATTAATTTTGAACATATGTAATATCCTATAATAAAGTGTGTGTGTGTGTATATATATATATATATATATATATAATATTACTAACAAGGGACATTTACATTAACAATATTTAATTTTGCATATTTTGATTGTTTTTTATTTTTTATTCAGTTTTTAAAAATTGCCATATATAAGAAATATTTCTGCTAATAAAGTTTTATTTTTAATTTCATTGTGTTTGTATAGAAAGAATTTATATCTGCCTCATGGAAATTCAGTTAGACAGCCTACAGTGTTCATAATAAACATTGTTGTCTGCTATTTCACATTGCTTAGTCAAACAGAACTCAAAAAAATTAATGGAATTATCTAAATAAGTTAAAATAATCTGTTTAATTAGATTTTCGGAAAATTGTACCAAATTATTTAAATATATATATATATACATATATATTTTTCTTTTTTTTTTTTTTCTTTTTTTGCAGCATTGTTAGAGACGAAAGGAAAGGTTCCTACAGATCCGCTCCTACGAACTGGGCGTCCCTTTGGCGGTCTCATAAATGACATAAAGCGACGTTACCCTTACTACAGAAGCGATATAACTGATTCCTTTAATCTCCAGTGTCTAGCTGCCTTTGTTTTTATATTCTTTGCTTGTCTTTCACCATGTATTGCCTTTGGGGGTCTGCTAGGTGAGTTATCTCCCATTTCTTTTACTTTTTTTTTTTTTCCTTCTCTGAGTAAATGTTTTGTTGTTGCTTCATATAGTTTGGGAAAAATTGATGACTGAGGTAGTTGTGTGCTTGTTAGACATTGCAATTGTTTAGAAAAAAAATTGTTTTTTTTTTTAAAGTTAGCATTTAATCAACTTCTTTTTCACCATATATAAGAAAAAAAAATAGATGTACAGATGGTGTAAAGTTTAGTGGCTTAAGATGAGAAATCACCATGCCAAGTTCAAATTCAAACATTCACTTTCAACTATGAATTTCCAAACTGCCTGTTTATTCAAAACACCTCTCCCTCCCTTTTTGTTTGGAAATGTGGATGACTATAATCTCAGCCACTGCCAACCTACGCCAATGTATTATTATTAGTTTTGGAATAGTTCTTGTTTTGTTTTTTCACATTTGTAATTATAGCAATGTCTGTTTAGGTTACAGAATGGTTGATGGCCTGCTGATTCTATTTTCTTTACCAAGTTCAAATTTCAGACAAGTCTGTTGCATTCACTTTCACACAAATACTACCACATAAATTCATGTGCAGTACATGCAATAGTCTGTCTTTATTTGCAGCATTAATTCTGCACAGTCAAACTAAGAGATTATGAACTTGAAAGAAATCTTAATTCAAATCTAATAAACAACTATTTTAGAGCCAACAAGAAAAGCATCTTTTGAACCAGAAACTTCTAATTCGAAAATGATCTCAAAATGTAAAGTGTCATCTGATAAATTTATATGCAATACATACAATCACCTATCTTTATTTGCAGTATCAATTACACACAAACTGAGAGAATGCTGTAATTTTTTTTCATTTCACCCCTAAACAAGGCAATAAAGCCACAAAGACACAAGGGGTTACTGAGTGTTTGAGAATCCGAGAAAAATAAGGGGGTTACTGAGTGTGAGAGAATATGAGAAAAATTACTATTAAAGAGAGAGAACAATAAAAGAACAAGAATTAAGAAGACAGAAGATAACGATTGATATTACATTTAAATTTTCTAAGCATCAAAGTTGACAGGGAAGCAAGAAGCCAGTTCCACAAGCGAGAAGTGTGACAGAAAAAAAACTGTTAACATAGAACTTACAGTTACATCTAACCATTTCAGCTGTAAAATGATGGGACCTTACTGCCAATCTAGTTCTGCACTTGAATTCATAAAGTCTAGGTAGCAAGGAGGAAAGTACATCAGAACAATTACTAGGGAAGCTACATTATGGCAGTGGAAAAGAGAAATTCCACTGCCGTAACTGGGTATTGAAGGACACATGGCACAGTGGATAAAGGCATTGGTTAGATCCAGTGACAGGACTCAAAGAGTGTGAGTTTAATACCCGGTTAAGGCAGTGGAGAACTTTCAGAGGGAAATTAACAGGAGATAACTGATAACTGACATCCATTAAACATGGCACGTGGAACTAGAACAGTCTACCCCAGTTAACGAAATAAAGGGTTAAGTTCAATATTCCAACCACCTGAAGAATGCCAGAGTGTACAACGGCTGAAACGTTGTAATAAAATGGCGACAAAGATGAGGACAATAGTCCAAATAATGTAAATGATGTACATAATGCCTCATCTCAGAAATATAGACAGATACTGAAGGATCGGATAAATATGGCAACAAAGATGAGGACAATAGTCCGAATAATGTAAATAGTGTACATAATACCTCATCTCAGAAATATAGACAGATACTGATACAATAGCCTCTCTTTATTTACAGTATCAATTATGCACAGTCAAACTGAGAGATTGTAGCAATTTGGAATAAATCTAAATTCAATTCTAATAAACAATTATTTTAGAGCCAATAAAAAAAAGCTTCTTTTGAACAAATTGAAACTTTAAAGGATTCAGCCAATAAAATCCAGATAAGCTAGGTTAGTTTGAAAAGAAATGACTTTCTTAGGTTTATGAAATGTCTCTCAAAAAAAACTGCTGCTAAATCTCATGCCATGAGAAGGTACTGGCAAATGAAGTCCTTCCAGTGATTGCATAATCTGCCCCATTTTTGTCCCCAGTCTGCAGATAGTGGTTCAAACTAGGTATGACTCTAGTACAGTGGTCATCAGGTCATCGCAGGACATAACCAAACCAGTGAACACAGCACTGACCAATAGGTCAGAGGATATTATTTACATTATTCAGACTATTGTCCTCATCTTTGGCACCATATTTATCACAAAGTTTTGGACGTTGTACGCTCCGGCCTTCTTCAGGTGGTTGGAATTTTGAACTGAACCCTTTATTTCACTCACTGGGGTAGACTGTTATAGTTCCATGTGCCATGTTTGATGGATATCAGTTGTCTCCTGCTAATTTCCCTGCCTTATTGAACTCACACTCTTTGGGTCCTGTCACTGGATCTAACCAACGCCTTTATCCACTGTGCCATGTGTCCTTGAGGACATCTGGGTATGAATTTCTGGGTATTATAAACCTAATGTCTTCAGCAACCATTTTTACCAGTGCTCATATTGCAATTTTTCTGTTATCATTGCATGTTTTTACCAGAGCTCATATTGCAACTATGTTGTTATCATTGCTTTTCTCTGGCACTCCTTATTATTGGTTTCCATATTGTATTTATTTCTATGCTTGGTCGGCTTAGGAGATTTTTGTGGCCTAGCATATGTGCTGATTCCTTAAGTTTACGAATTTTCAATTGGTGTTCCTTGTCTATGATCTCAACATGATCCCACAGATGGCGGTGATCTCCCTTCTCTCTCCATATGTGGTCAGCCACACCTGATTTTTCTACTTCCCCTCGTGTTACAGCTTTCTGGTGTTCTTGAAGCCTTACCTTGAGGCCACAAAAATGGACATGAACATGGACACAGGAGGCATGGATCTTTACATGATCTGATTTAAATTTGATTAATTTTCTATGGCTTAGTCCATTGCAGGTTATTTAGAACCAGAAATTTTTTTTTATATTGTAATAATTTTTTTTTTTTTTTTTTTGAGATAATGATTTGGTGATAGATGTGGTGGATTCATACCTTTCCCAAGGCTATTTGTGTGTAAGTAAATATAACAAACCCAATGGGAATTGGAACTCGGCTCTCCAATTAACAATTCAAGCTTATAGCACCTGTTACTCCCCTGTAGTCACCCATCTAGATAATGACCAGGCTCAACATTATTGTATGGGAACCAATGTTTACAATGCTCTATGGACCTAAGCATTTATATGATCTGACAAACCTTTATATAAAGAATACTGTCCACCAGTAGTGTCAGAGTTGAGCCATGTTGTAGATCTGCTTCTTTTGAATTAAAAACTAATTTAGACTTCAAATGATTCACCTGTAATAATCAGTACAAAAGATATGAAGAAAAATACTTCATGAGATAAACAGTTATATAGATATGACTGCAAAAACAAGGTAGAAACAAATTCTAATGGATTGATTTGTGATTTCAGGATTCAGCGTCATTTATTGAACAGGACTAATTTTTTTCTTCATTTTATCCTTTTTTTTTTCCAGCGGAAAAAACAGATGGTCTTATGGGGGTTACGGAAACAGTGCTGAGTACCTCTTTATGCGGACTTATATTTGGTCTGTTCAGTGGACAGCCCCTTATGATCCTTGGAGCGACAGGGCCTGTTCTGGTATATGAGCAGTCTTTATACAAGGTAAGAATGGTTAAAATTTGATCTGTTTAGTCGACAGATGATCTTTGGAATAAGAAGGCCTGTTCAGGCACGTGAGCAATCTTTAGACTTTGCACTTGTTAGATTGTTCATTCACAGTATTTATATTATTTATTGGAATGGTTGTCAAGACATTGGCTAATTGCTAAGTTATTCTAACTTTATAAAGTGATGAATGTTTTCATTTTTATTTCTTTATAAATTGGTAAATGATAAATATTGCATTGCATTAATTTTAACTATATTAGTTTTAGAATGAAATTATATTATTTTATGTAATTATTGTTGTAAATTCTTAAGAACAAAAAATGCATAAATTCACTTTCATCTTGTGTTTAGGTATTATTACAATTCTAATTGTCGCTTTTTTAAAAGGAGTGAAGGTAGTTAAAATAATAGTGGTGTCAATGGAAAAATCCTCCTTTTGATACTCCATTTTTTCTTTGCAGAATTCCTAACAGTTTTTTAATATTTTAAATTATTTATTGAGAAAAACATTCAAAAGAGCCTGAAGCATGCTTCACATTGTCTCCAGACCACAGCTCATCAAGTTGGATCTGGTCAAGATCCAAAGTAAACAAAGTTAGTTAAAACCATGCTTGCAACACAATGCTACTTCCAACATGAAACACATCTGTTTACCTTCCAATCTACATCATTGATAACGTTCGCTACGTGTTAACAATCAAAAGCAAATATTTTTAATATAATGTTGAAAATCTGAAAATCAAGAAACTGATACATCTATACAAAAACAATAACCTGTCTGGTGGCAAAAGCTGCTGGTGGTGCCAGGGGTGGCAGTACCACCTTAACCACCAAAACTGTGTTTTACCTTCCCTGGTTGGCAACTGACAAGAACAGTGTATTGCACATGCTTTCACATGTTGTATGTAGAAAATAAAATGATGAGACCTAATAGCCAATTTAGTAGCATGTTTAAATCCATATGACTGATCTACCAAGGAAGAGAGCTCATTAGAACAACTGCCATGAAAATATTTATAGAAAAGACAAAGGGAAGTCATAGCATGGTGGTTGGAAAGTGATTGAAGTCATAATACCAGGTCAGGACTGATAACATTGCAGAACCTACTTTGGATTTTGTCAAGAATCTCGAAATGCACAGCAAGAGCACCAGGCAAGATATGGCAGCAGTATTGAACGCACAAACAAATAGTAGATTTATAAATATGCATGATGGATTTTGTTGAAAAGAATTTTCTGGCATGAGACACTGAACCAATTTTCTTAATGGTAGACATAGCAATTAGTTCAATATAATCATTCCACGTCATGTCAATGGAAAACATAAGGCCAAGAAGGCTCAAAGTGTTGCTCTTCTGGAGTTTAACACCATCCATATTGATGGCAGTCAGAAAAAGTTATCTGTGATTTTTAAATCAAAGCAGTTTTGTTTTGAAGGTATTCAAATTTACAAGCCATTTCTTGCCCCAGTTTACCACCAATTGGAGGTCTTTTGCCAAAGCAGTTTACTTTGTCAAATCTGTCAGCCTTTCTACTAAGACAAGAGTAAATAGTTGTGTGATCTGCATAAACCAAGTTGGGTTGGAATAATAGTAAGTAATTGAACAACAAGATGGATCCTGTGAAATGACATCTTCAGACATGTTTTTATTCATGGTATCATATCTGTGTAGGGGTAGGAAATGAAATAAATATCAATAAGAATTTTACATTGAGAAAATGCTGAAAGTATGGTGACACTTTTTAAAAGAAAAATAATGTCACCAACCCCAAGCAAGGCAATAAAAGCCATTAATATGCAAGGGGTAATATAAGCAGAAGAGGCTTTCAGAGATGATGATATACAAAGGAAGGATAGATAGATAGATAGATATACATACATCCACCATCCTGGGTATGACAATAAACTACATCCACATCCTGGGTAAGACGATAAACTACATCCACATCCTGGGTAAGACGATAAACTATGTCCAACCTCTGATCAGGTTTTGTGGAGCATGGAACCACCTCTTAATTGCTGGTGTTTCCAGCTCCACCCTGACCAAGGGTGGTAGAACCTGTTAGGGTCCAAGCTATGGGCAAATAGTCAATGAATGGTAGATTTATAAATGTATGTTCTGCGTAAATACCAAGTTAGGTCAGAATAATAGTAGGTAATTGAATGACAAGATGGATCCTTTGAAAGGACATCTTCAGACTAAATAATGTTTTAAATGTGTATGATGGATTCTTACGAGTAAAATTGTCTAGTGCAATACAGTGAAAACAACTTACCTAGCAGTGAATCTAGCAACTGATTCATCACTCCACTTCATGTCAGTAGAAAGCATTAGCCCAAGAAAGCACAGTGTTTCTCGCCTGGAAGTTAGCATCAATCATGATGATGACAGGCAGAAAAGATTCTCCGCGGTGATTAAATGAAAGCAGATTCATTTTTTGAGGCATTAAAATTGTGAAAAACATTGATATTTTTTTTTCTTTTTCTAGATTTATTTTCAATTATTTTAATGAAATTAAAAATATAAAATGGCAACCATTTACCCATTGTACCCTGTATATTACGGCCTGATTAAGTTTCACCCGAGCAATTTCACACAAACTGCTTCTTTGTGTAACCAACTCCCAATTTTAACCTGTTCTAGTCTCAAGTCAACCACATATTCCCATAAACTGTGCCTCTTTACTCTCTAACATTCTACCTTGAGTGGCTCTATGGTCAAGTACAGAGTGAACATCATTGTAACAAAAAATATATTCAATGTATTTATGCATATGTTTATAGAGTTAATAACTTTTTTTGTCTGAACTTATACAAAAAATATTTAAATTTAAATTTTTTTTTTCTTTCATTCTCTGTTTTGGTTCAGTTCTGTGAAAGCAATGAAATTGAATTCTTGCCAATGCGTTGCTGGATTGGTTTTTGGGTCACTGTGATAGCAGGTGTGGTTGTGGCACTCGAAGGAAGCTTTCTTGTCCGTTTTGTCACAAGATTCACTGAGGAAATTTTTGCCATTCTAATTTCACTCATTTTTATCTACGAAGTGATAAAAAAATTAACAGATGTAAGTATAACAAAGTTTTTTTTTTTTCCCTCCCTGCCCCATTTATCCCATTTTTTTAGTCTTTTCATTCCAAGCAAGGCAATAAAGCCACTAAGACGTTTGGGAGGTTATTGAGTATGATATACCTGAGAAAACATAATAAAAAGAACAGGATTGAAGGAGACAAACATCAGTATTTTTTTTATTCTATTATAAAGTCAGTTTATGAACCAGTAACAAACTTTTACCAAACAATTAAGACATGTAAGTTTTTTTTCCCTACCTCATTTATTCCTGTTTCTTTTATCTTTTCAACCCAAGACGGCAATAATGCCACTAAGACATTAGAGATTACGGAGCATGAAGGAACCTGAGAAAACATTACTCAGGATTCAGAGATAAAAAAGATGATGATTGACATTGCATTTAAATTTTTGAAGAAACTAGGAAACAGGAAAGCTGATTATGAAGTAATGGTTAACAAGCTCATCTAGCAGATCAACATGACTAATGGGTTGAGATCACATTGAGAGTTCTTTGTCTTTCTGGCCTTATGATAGACACTAAGCTAAGCTTATTAATACTTAGACTATCATAACACTCCTTTGCATTCTCATGACTCCACAACTGGGAGTGAGGGGGCAGGGGAAGCAAGAAGTTGGAAAGGAAGTGCAAAATAATAAACTGTTAAAATAGAACTTACAGTTATACTTGGCAATTCCTCCTGCTCCATGAATATTATTCTGTTCTCTTTGAAATAAATCAAACTAAATATTATTAGCTTCCTGTAGTATACCCTGGGCAATATCACCCACCAGTGAGCTATTTCAACTGTTGGATGGGTGCCGAGCAACTCAATAGAAAATGATGGTCAAATGAAAATTTTGGTGGACAATATAGGATTTTAAACATTAAAAAGGCATTTCAACATATGTTACCTGAAAAAAATATTCCAAGAAGATCTGCAAAGAACCTGTGTAAAACAGCAATAAAAACAGGGAAATAAATGGCTAACGTTCCTAGATAAGATATAAACATCCTCACAGACTAGGAATATTTTGGTATTTTCTATAGTTTTGAGAAGGGTTATTACCATTCAAATCATTCTTCAGACAAAATAATTTTTTTTTAGTGTGTGTCGGAGGGGGGGGGGTAAGTATAAATCACGTTAACCCTAGAAAACTAACCATGGGTATATAGTACCCAGCACAAATTTTCCTATTTTTAATTACAATTTTCAGTACCTAATTTTCTTACCTAAACAATATGTTTTTCAGTTCCTATTAATGTTAACTCAAAGTTTGAAGTGCCTGCATGTAAAATATTTCAAATAAAGATTTATATTTAATATTTTTTTTGATATTTTCAAAATCGGGTATGATATACCCATGGTTAGTAGTGGTGTAACTTTAATTGATGGTTAGTGTTTAAGGGTTAAGGAAGACCAAGAACAACAAAAATATTTGCTGAATCTTTATTAGTTGCTAGTTGCATATATCCTTTTTAATTTTATAATTATGTACAAAAATTTTAAAAATTTTTGTCAGCCTTTGCAACACTAATGTAAGCATAAAACTAAAGTTTTTATATATATATATATATATATACATTCTGTCCAGTAAATGTAATTAATACAATTTAATAAAAAAAAACGGAGCATTTCCATAAATAAATTATATCTATAAAAATAATGTATAAAAAGAAAATATATTAAAATAATTGTCGGACTTAATCCATTTCATTATATATATATATATATATATATAAGTTTTGAACATTCAGATTCTTTAATATGGTAATAGCAGCATCCATTGCATAAGTCACCTCCCTTTCATATTTTTTACTCAAGTCAGTTTATGAACCAGTAACAAACTTTTACCAAACAATTTTATTATGCTTTTGAATATTTACTACATGGGCAATGAAAAATTTTTCCATGTCAGAGTGGGTGATGATGCAAAAATGATTGGGAATCCCACCCTTAGATCATTTCAGAATGGACTTTGCACTCAGTGTTCTACAGAGAAACCGGGTTTAACATTAAGTGATGACCTGCTCAGGAGGTGGAGATCCACAATTCATATAATGTCACTGGCTGCCCTAACATATGTGACCATGCAACAGAAATACCGCCCACATAATGGTAAGATATTGTATGGGAAGTATTTTTGCCGTATGGCAATGGTGCTTTCATCTAGCTAATGTCTTACCATTATATAGGAAGTATTTCTGCTACACCCTGTATTGACATCCACTCTAGAGAGAAGGAAGAAACTTTTACATCACACATGAGAATGTAGAATCTATGTTTGGATGGGGCTATACATGCACAACTAGATGACAGTAACCAAAAATGTCCAGAGATCTTTCTTTAGCCTGTACAACACTATAAATATTAGATATGGTCTCAAACTCCAACCAATATTTACTCATTTTTATCAAGCCTTGTTTGATCCCTTCATCTGTTGGGTATTGAAATTTAAATGCTAGTTTCCCTCAAAAAACAATGTATAATTCACAAACATCTTTCTATACACTTAAATGTTACCTTCAGTGATCTCTGTTTGATGTCAAGCCCCATCCTATTATTAGTAAGCTTAAATATTTAATATTTTTATTAGCCATCTCCATGCCACTATGGCTGATGGAAATTGGGTGCATACTAGTCAAGGATTCTTTCCTGCTTATTCCTATCATTTTCTTATAAAAAAAGAACTCTGTAATTAGTAGTTAATAAACTTTACTCTAAATATTGCCACATTTTTGTTTTTAAAGGCCATGTCCCTTCAGGATGAGGGCAGTTATGGATTGCCATAGATTCCAAATCTTTTTATAAATTTTATAAATTATAAACCTGGAGTGGTTTCCTGTTGCCTTCTCCATGAGTGGCTGATATCCAAAACTGGAAAGTCCACTAGACCTTGCTGGTTAAGCTATAGCTGTGAGGGGAATAAATGGTTTCAAGCCTTTCCCAAGGTTCTGATTCCTTGTGTTCACTTTCACTCAAATGCACACCCAAAATTTGAATAACAAGATTTGAAACATTGAAAAATTCTAAATGACACCAATAATGATGCCAATGAAAATTATTTTTCCTTTTTAATTCCAGATTTACCAAAAATACCCACTAATCGCGGACTGTGCATCTTGTTGTCCAAGCATCGTCTTACCAAGCCTAAACAGTAGTAATTCCACAACGTCAGCTTCCGAAATTTCTTATTCATTGTTTAATTCAACAATTAATTCCAATGGGGGTCATAGCCACAGCACAACAGAGGCTAGTGTCGGGACAAAAGCCCGTGAACGTTATACAAAGGCTGCAAACCAACCAAACACGGCTCTGTTGTCCACCATATTGGCCCTAGGAACCTTTTTTATTGCATATTTCCTCAGGATTTTTAGAAATAGCAAATTTCTTGGAAGAAGTGTAAGTATTTAAGGTTTTGTTGTAATTTCACTTTTTTAAGGCCAAAGAGCCACTCAAAGTAGAGGGTTACTGTGTGGTGTTGTATGAGCATAAGAAAGGACAAGAAGTGAAGTTCTTGGTGCTATGCAGGAAAGATAATGGCTAACTCTAGACTTGACTGATTTATGGCTTGTCAAACTTTTGCAGGTTATTTAAAACCAGAAAATATTTTTAGATTGTAATATTTTTGGGGAGAGATAATAATTATTTATGAATACAAGTTCTACTTATTAATCCATAGCAAGGAGGAGAAGAGGTGAATTCATACCTTTCTCAAGAGTATTCACCATGGTAATTCTCACATCCAAGCATTTACTTATAATCGTAAATAATCTATAGGAGTCATTCATATATATATATATATATATATATATATATATACTGATTAGGCTCAACATTGCTTAACATCAGTAATCTTCTAAGAACCAGTGTTTCAACATATGGTTTTAGGCCTCTAAACTTGAAGAAGTCAAGAGTGTTTTGATTGGGAAAACATAAGCAAATAAACAGAAGAAAATGGAAACCCAATCCTAAACAGAAAACAAGGGATAAACCTCTACTCCTGTTCAAAAGACCAAGGAGGAGTTTGAACTGGATGATAGGGACACCTATCCTCTGTTGAGGAGAAAAAAAATAATTAGTAAATAAAACTTCATAGTTCAGGTGGAAATGTTTAAAGTAGACTTTAGAAAGAATTAGAAACCCAATCCAAAATTGGAAATATGGGTTAAACCTCTACTCCTGCTCAAAAAACTGGGAAGGAGTGTAAACCCAATGATAGGTGACCCTATCTACCCCTATTGGGGAGAAGAAAAAAAAAAATCTTTTGACTCTTTACTTTTTTTTTTAATCATTTCATGCCAAGCAAGGCAATACGGCCACTAAGATGCAAGGGGTTACTGGGAATGAAAATGAATGAGAAAACTTTAGTGAGGAGAAAGGATTCAGAAGACAAAAGATGGTGATTGTTATTGCATTTAAATTTTTGAAGATTGTAGGGAGCAGAGAAGCAAGAAATTGGAAAGGAGCTCCACAGGTGAGCCAAGAAACTATTAAAAGAGAACTTAGGGTTACATCTAGCTAATTCAACATTAAAACAGTGAGACCTAACTGCCAATCTAGTAGTACACTTAAATTCATACAGTTGAAGCACGGCACCAAGAAAGAGAACTCATTAGAGAAATTGCCATGAAATTATAGAAAATTCAGAGGGAAGCCACATCATCAGGGTGGGAAAGTAACTGGTTAATATTCCAGGTTAGGTATATTAGATTAAATTAAAGTACCTTATCAGATCCGACAACCATTTATTGCCCCTCTTATCCTCAAAAATCCCAACACATTTTCCTTACACAAAGTTCTGTCTTTTATTCTAACCTGAAAAAGTCAAAGCTAATACATCACATCAATATAATGCCTTGTCTAAAAGCTTTTCATCATCTCCAATTTTGTCTCAGATGCTATTATGCATTTTACAAGCATGCATATATATTAAATAAGAGAAAGCTGTTGTGTCCTCCACCTTATTCAGGTGTCTGCCAACCCACAGATCAAATAAAGAGTTCAATTCAAAATTCCCTGAAGGTTACTTTGATCGACAGATACCTGAATATTATAATAATAACAAAGATGAAGATAACAGTCTAAATGTAACTAAGACTGGTGATTTAATTCATTTTCCTGTGTGAACCTCATTTATTTTTACCCAAGTATCACCTCTGCTTTTTCACTCTTTTTTTCTTTTTTACATTTTTCAGGCCAGACGAGCTCTTGGTGACTTTGGAGTTTTAATTGCTCTTGTTGTGATGGTTCTCCTTGATGTTTTAATAAAGGACACCTGTACACAGGTATGACTATATAAAAAATGTAAAATTAATCTAGCATTAAAGGATAAAGCAAAATTCCTCCAATTGCTTGACCTATTAGGTGGGGAATAAATTTTTGTCATTTAGCATTCATTAGAGCTTCATCAAGCCATGAAGAAATTAAAGAGGCAAGACTACAAGGAAATAAAACCCAATTTGTCCTGATATTTACCCATAGTTGGAGGGAGAAGAGACGGATTGATACCTTTCCCAAGGGTATTAGTATATTATGAACAGGATATCACTTCTTAAATGATAAAAAAAAATTGATATGGTCTGATTTGAACAAATTTTTTTTTTAATCATTTCACCACAAGCAAGGCAAAAAAAAGCCACTAAGTAGCAAAAGAATATGAGAAAAATATACCATTAAGGAGAGAGGACAATAAAAGAATAATAATTAAAAAACAGAAGGTAACAATTGATATTGCATTTAAATTTTTGAAGATCAAAGTTGAAAGGGAAGCAAGAAGACAGAAGAGAGTTCCATAAAAAAGAGCAATAGAAGAAACTAAACTATTAGCATAGAACTTACGGTTTAACCATTTTAAGTGTAAAATGATGAGACCTTGCCACCCATGTGCTTACATTCCTCTATGATATCTAAATTTTATGAAAGTAATATTTATTTTGAAAGGAAAAAATCAAGAGGGATAATCTTCAATCGATTTTAAACTTAGCTAGCTACAATTACTGACCCAAACGTACTATTGTATTCCTTACCCCAAAACAACACATTCTTACTACCCCTAACAGAGAAAAGTTCATCAGAACAATTACAGTGAAAATATTTATAGAAAAGGCAGAGGGAAGCTACACTATGGTAGTGGGAAAGTAACTGAATCCAAAATGCCAGGTCAGGACCAATAACATTGCAGATTCTTCTTTGAATTTTATCAAGAACCTTTAAATATACAGCAGGAGCACTAGACCAGATATGGCAGTAAAAAATGTTGCAGCTCAGGAAAAGTCTAATGCAAGTGGAACAGTCACTTTAATGCCTTAATATGCAGATAAGAAAAAAAAACTAATTTAGTGTATGTCAGTATACCAGCAACAAGAAAGGTAAGATGGTAGATGGAAAAGTTAGTACATAAAAATTGAAAAATATCAGTCCCTTGACTGAGAACAAAAAGTGGCCTATAAAGGTGACAGTGGCACCGGTTATTACTGGAGCACTTGGATCAATCCTAAACAGCTTTGTAAAAGAATTAAAAGACTTGTAAATTAAACATTAAAAAAAAAATTGCATCAGCATTCCTAAACTCATCAAGAGTATGAAAAAGACTCATTGTCACTTGTTATATTATTCAGACTGTTGTCCTCATTTTTACTGTCACCTTCACGTTTCGGCCGTTGTATGCTCTGGTCTTCTTCAGGAGATATTTGTTGGAAATCCTTTATTTAGTCCAAGGAGGTAGATTGTTTTAATTCCATGTACCATGCCTTTGGATATCTCAGTTTTAGTTAAAATTTGAAAGTTAGAATTAGTGTTTGTTCTGAAAGATATACATACCTATAGAATTTATTAATACAGATGTTTATTAATCCAACTGATTTGTATCACTTTAAATGTTATTATTAGTGAATACTCAAATCTGAGTAGATTAAAAAGTATATTTATTTATATTCACCTACCAGCATGAAATATTGAGAAATTTTATTAAAGAAAAATTTGCAACAAGAACTGAACCTACATCCCTCAGGGTAGAGAAAGCCACTGTTTAGTCCAATGTGACTATACTACTTTCTATATGAACCACAGGTTTGCTCTGTGGGTATTGGACAAACACAAATGTGCCTGAGTGTGAGTCTGGCCACCCTAGTAGACGGGTATCCTTGAATACAAGTGGCCAGCTATATATATGATACTAGCAGCAGAGCCCGGCATTGCCCGGGGATGTATCAGTAAGAGATAGATCAAGTATCGACCATCATAATGACTGAAAAATAAAATTGACAAAGATTATTGTTTAAGGTTAACGGACACGCATGTCTTAATTAGTTTTTTTTTTTTTGTTTTGTTTTTTTTTTACGAATTGGTCAAACTCAAACAAAAACATTGTTTTTCAATCGTTATGAGTCTACCGATTAAATAGAATTTTATTATAAACAATTGTCTTGTAAATGGAATTTTTTAAAGCATTCTGAATGTAAAAATAAAAAAAAAAAGTGTGCAAGAGAATAAGAAACACTACCTGCCAAAAAAAGTGAAGTTTTTTTTTGAAATTTTGTTGAAAAATGTAGGAAATCCGATCCCATATATAAAAAACACACACACACACAAACAACCTGGGTTTTATAATAAGTATAACTTGATATGAGTCGTGATGCCTCTTAATCGTGTTTTAAAATCGATTTTGTGCAAAAACAATTGTGTTTTTCCAATTTTTGGCGTTGTCAGAACCACTGCAAGGTAATTTTACATAGTCCTGTGAAGTTTTGTTGAAATCGGTTGAAAAATGTAGGAAATCCGATCTAATATATAAATGTACAGACACACACACACACACACACACAATCTGCGTTTTATAATAAGTATGATCTGATAAGTTCAATAGAGTTATCAAACATCTGGCTCTGATGAGCATTTCAATATGAAACTTAAGTCAGTCAACCAAATAAAACACTTGAATTTTGGATTTATAGTTCCAGTTCTACTGGCCTAAAAAAAACATTAAATTCTTGTCATTTTAATATTTTTCAAGTTGTATTATTGTGTGTATAAACATAGTTAAGGTTGTATGATTGGATCAGGTGTTCATTATCTTCTCTCAACCATTCTCATATGCAAATGATGATACTGAGTGCAGGAAGAAGTTGGTACATGCCTTTCCCAAAGTTATTACAGCTAAATGAACATGAGTAACTTCAGCTGAAATTACCTACTTTTGTCTGGATGTTTCATATCAATCATAATAATTTTTTTTTTTTTTTTTTTTTTTTAATCGGTTTTACCCTATGCAAGGTAGTAAAGCCACTAAGACACAAGGGATTACTGGGTGTGGAAGATTTAGGAACAGAAATATTAATAATGAGCAGGAAGAGAAAAGAGTAATCAGGAGGATAGATAGTGATTGACATTAATATGCAAAAATTTAGATGCAAAGTTGGCTGGAAAACATGTAGTTGAAAAGGAGTTCCACAAGTGAGAAGTACAAGAAAATAAACTGTTAGTATAGAATTTATGGCTACATCTCTAGCTAGCTAGCTCAAGTGTAAATTGATGAGATCTTGTCACCAGTCTAGTAATGCACTTAAATTTAAAAACTCAAGGTACCATAATGAAGATTCTCATCTGAACAGTTATCATGAAAGTATTTATAGAAAAGGCAGAGAGAGGCCACCTTATACATATATTTTATTTATTTCAATTTTGTCTGTTTTTATTTCAGAAACTTGAAATGTCTGATCAATTTGCTCCAACTTTTGAAGAGAAATTAAAGGTTGGTTTATCATTTTTTGGGTATTAAGGATAATTTTCAAGTTTGGCTGATATTTGCTTCTATTATTCCTGCTTTTCTCATCTTCATTCTTCTTTTCATGGAAGTGCAAATCACAGAGTAAGTAAAACAGATTCAACTTTTTAATTAAAATAAAACAGTTTTTTATTTTTGCCCTGTAAAAAGACTTTTCATTTATTTCAATTTATTGCTTATCATTAATGTGATTAAAATTCTATTGTTACTAAATTTTTGTTTAATATGAGATGATTCCTTATAGGAAATTGTTTTTTTTTTTAATTTCACCTCAAGTAAGGCAATAATGCCACTAAGACACAAAGGGTTACTAGGAGTGAGAGAAAATGACAACTGACATTGCATTTAAATTTTTTAAAGATTATAGGTGGCAGGGAAGCAAGAGATCAAAAGGGGGTTCCACAGGTGAGAAGTGCAAGAAAAGAAACTATTAAAGTAGAACTAACAGTTACATCTAGCTATTTTAACAGTAAAATGGTGAGAGCTAATTGCTAATTTAGTAGTACACTTGAATTCATGTGGTCAAGGTACCAAGGAGAAAAGCTCATTAGAATATTTATTTATAGAAAAGTTAATAGGAAATCATGTTACTGTGGTAGTAAAGTGGCTGAAGTCGATATGCCAGGTCATGACTGATAACATTACAAACCCATTTTTGGATTCTGTCAAGATATGGCAGCAATATTCAATGCAAAGACAAATGGCAGATTTATAAATGTATATGACAGATTCTGATTCAAAAAGTGGTCTAGCACAAGACAGAGAACTATCATCTTAGCAGCAGATCTAGAACTTGCTTCAGTATAATCACTTCACTTCATGTCTGTAGAAAACTTGAGATCACAAAGTCGCAATGCGTTGTTCTCCTGCAGATTAGCATCAACCATGCTGATCGAGGGCATAAATGGTTCTCTATGATGATAGTTTAATTTTGGAGGTGTTGAAATTAACGTTATTTCTTGCCCCAGTTAACCACTGATTGGAGGTCATTTTTGAGAGCAGCTGCCAGCTTTGCTGATAATATCAACAACCTTCTTTTACTTCCATGTTAGGCTATACAATTCTTTTTGGTATACCAGTCCTATGGCTAGTATAAATTTTCTTATATAGACAGCTTTATTTTACTTAAATGTTTGTGAAGGTGATAGTCACACAGTACACAAGCTCACTTTAACTATTTGGAAGAGTACCTGTTTCTGCATGTGCAATTAGGTCCCCTTTGGTTATTATGTCAAAGCAACACAACTGGTTCTCCAAAAAAAAGCTGTCTAGAATTTTTTTTTATAACTTGTCAGTTTTCCAAATAAAATAGCTGTCTATTTTAAAGCTTTTAACTTGTCAGAGAAAAAATATGTATAGCTGTAAAGACGTGGCTTATAAAAACAAAGTTTTTCCAAATATGTATAGCTTTTCAGACTATAGCTTATAAAATTTGTCAGTTTTTCCAAATATGTATAGCTGTCTAAACAAAAAAGCTTATAACTTCAAAGTTTTCCAAATATATTAAAGCTCTTAGACGTAGCTTATAACTTGTCAGTTTTCCAAATATGTATAGCTGTCTAGACGTAGCTTATAACTTGTCAGTTTTCCAAATATGTATGTATAGCTGTTACTAGAATTCTAACGGCTTATAACTTTTGAAAATCTTTTTTCCAAATATGAATATAGCTGTTTTGAACAATTAGTTTTATAACTTGTCAGTTTTATGCATAATGTTTGTCTTGTCTGTATTTTAACTTGAAAACTATTTCTCTTTTTTTTTTATTCTATTTACTAAAGTTTATCCAGTACATGGCTTGAGAGCAACTGAAGGTAGAGGGTTATTGTTAAAATTATGAGTGAAAGATGAGGTGGTGGTAGGAAGTGAACATTATCAAGATAGGGAGGATAGATAACAATTGACCCTTAACTTGAAAAAGTAAAGATTTTAGTGTTTTGCACAAGGTAGGAGTTTTTTTTTTTTGGAAAAGCCAAATGAGTAAAGATTTCTTATATTTGGAATATGGGGGAAATGAGGCTGTTTTGATTTCATGGACATAGCATAGCATAGCATGGCATGTCCTACCTGTAAAGGTCTAAAATGGTAAAACAAAAAAGAAAATGGAGTTCATCTGAACATTTGCTTTAGATTGATTAACTTATTCTTTATTGTCTATCAACCCTTTTTGAGTTATTTAAAGACAACACATATTTAGGATTGTAGGAGGATGCTCATAGTGCCCAGTGTTCACAAATGGTCCTTGTTATATTCAGTGCTAATAGGAATGGATAAAATAAGTAAAGGTTTATTGTAAAAAACCAGTACAATAAGAATAAAGGTAACAGTTATGCACCAGGTCGTCTCAAGTCAATCCAGTAGTGAGTGCTACTATTGGAAGGTCAGTAGTTCTTGTGTAAGTCCGAGTCGTACTCAACCGATCCTAGATAGTATATTTAGCTACCCCCCATGAGGGTTGCATGTGGCACAAGGATGGTTTAACGTCGGTTCTCTGAGCCAGCAGGCTCAGCCAAAAATATTCCCTTTTGAACCAGTATAAATCGGTTCAGGGGCAGTCCACCTCCCCGAACAAGACTCGGTCCTTCGGCAGAGCCTCATCTGGGTTCCTCTCTGCCCAAAGGCAGAGAGTTCCACTGTTTAGCTGGAACAGATCGCAGCTAGTATATTTAGCTACCCCCCCACAAGGGTTGCATGTGTCACAAGGCCAGTTTAACGTGGGTTCTCTGAGCCCATAGGCTCGGCCCAAAATATTCCCTTTTGAACCCACATAAACGGGTTTTTTCAGTGACACCTCCTTAACAAGACTTGCTCAAGATCAGGAAGCCTCATCCAGGTTCCTCTCTGCCTTCGGGCAGAGATTTCGTCTGTTTCGCTGGAACAAATTGCAGCTAGACTCTGTAGTCCGTTGACTTACAGATACTTATAGGTAGTTACTACCTATAGTGTAGTCACTTATGGGGGTGATAGGTTATTCCATTACATCACTTACATTACCCGGGGTTCCCAAGCCATTTGCTATATAAATAGATGATATTTCTTTTTTAAATATGCTGCTTTTCATCTAGCCTTATGTTTCTTTCTTTTTTTTTTTTTTTTAGAACAATTATGTCCAAGAAAATGCGCAAAGGCTCTGGTTACCATCTGGACATGATGTTGGTCAGTATAATGGTTAGTGTTTGTGCATTATTTGGTCTGCCTTGGATGTGTGCAGCCACTGTCAGGTCAGTTGCCCACAAATCTTCTCTCAGTGTTTTCAGCCGCACACATGCCCCAGGAGAAAAGCCAAAGTTACTTTATGTCCAAGAACAACGACTTACAAGTATATTAGTCAGCATTTTGATAGGTAAGTAAAACCTTTTGCTTCAAATTTTCATTTCTGGCACATAAACATTATATTCTATCTGCACTCTGTCCCATCACTGGCATGTCATGATGAAAGATTGTGATCAACACCCCCACCTTTTCATAACTGTCTAGGAAGAAGCAGTAAAAAAACTGCAACTTCCTTTATCAATTTATTTACACATGGACTATTGTCCCTATCTTTTTTGTTTGACCATTGTACCCTCATTCATCAGGTGATTGTCAACCTGGGTAACCTTAACCATGCTAATTTCTTTCTAGAATTGTTCCCCCTGCCACTGTATTTTTTGAGGGTGCACAAACAAACACATACAGTTTTAAAATTGTTGTAACTTTCTTTGTATTGTGTTTATAGATTTTAATTTTTGAACACGAATAAAAGAGTAATATTTTGATGTAATACGTTATGTTTTGCATGCATGTTTTGATGTTGAAAACAAAAAATTGAAATTACAAACAAATACATTAAAAAAATACATAAATAATTCAACATATTTTAACTTTTATTACTCCTTTCGGGGGGGGGCAATAAGAAGCAAAATCACTAAAATGGCTTTTATTTTGTCAAAAAAGTGACGTGTCTCCCCATGTTTACATATGTTATACTTGAACGTACCTATTTCTATTGTAAATAGACTCTCTCAGATAAGTAGTAGTAGCAGTCACCAGTGGAGCTCAGTGAGTTGTGTGAGTGTGGTAATGGTAAAAGGAATTTCAAACTGAACCCTTTATTTATTCTACAGGCTAGATTGTTTTCTCTTCCACTAACTTGTTGGGAAATTTATATTTTTCTCCTTTGTTTTTATTGTAAGAAAGTTAGCTTTCTGCTTAATATAGTGTTGTAATGAAATGCCCCACACTCCCTATCGCCTATGTGGACTGACTATATCAGTAGCTATATATAGTGAGCACAGGATATACCTGGGGGCTTGCTTTGGGAATTACTGGCCTGCCACCCAATTTCCTGTTTTTCAGTAGTGTATTCTTTTACAATAAACCTCTCTTTCATCTATGTGCATGTTACTGTTCCTTCACTCAAGTACCACCTTTGTCCGTTTGTAACCTCTTTAAGAATACAATATATAGGGTGCAGCAGAAATATTATACTAAATCAACTGCTAGGTCTGTTACTAGCAAAGTTGGTTCACTATGTCGTGCTATACAATTTTTCTTGTCAGAATCTGTTTTACATATTCATAAGTCTACCATTCATCCATGCATTGAATATTGCTGACACACCTAATCTGGTGCTTTTGCTATGGATTTCGAGTTTCTTGATAAAATCCAAAGAAGAATCTGCAATGTTATTGGTTCTGACCTAGCATCTCGCCTTCAGTCATTTTCCTGCTATGTAGCTTCCTTGTGCCTTTTCTATAAACATTTTCATGGTAATTGTTCTGATGAACTTTGATGTACCTAGACTTTATGAATATAAGTGCAGTACTAGATTGGCAGCAAGGTCTCACTAGTTAAGAGTTGAAATGGCTAGATGTAACTGTAAGTTCTATGCTAACAGTTTCTTCTATCATACTTCTTGCTTGTGGAACTCTCTTCCAGATTCTGGCTTCCAAAAAATATCTCAATGAAACCTGATCTACAAACTGATTTCTTACAAAGAATACATCTTCTATTCATATGAATCTATCCTAAGAATCTTGTCAGTATTAAATAAACCATTGAGGTTGGTATAACATAAAATAAACCAAACCAAAGCAGCTAACATTGATCTTCAAAAATTTTAATGTAATGTCAGTTGTTAGCTTCTCTCTTCTTAATTCTTTTTCTTTCTCATACTCTGTAACATTCAGTAATCCCTTGCATTTTAGTGGCTTTATTGCCTTGCTTAAGGTGAAAAGATTAAAAATAAAAATGATAATACCTCCCACATAATGGTAAACATTAGGGACAATGGTGTCTTCATCTAGTTAATGGCTCAACCTTATGTGGGAGATATTTCTGCCACACCCTGTATTTAAGTTTTAACCATAGAAATTATGAAGTTTCTTTCCCTAAAAGAAAGATCAGGTATTTAAAAAAAAGAAGGCAGGAACTCCCCCGATCCCTAGCTATAATTTAAATAGACTAGATTCTCTAGTCTTGAGCAGTAACCAAGTCTAAGAGAAGGAAAACTCTGAATTCAAAGCTGTGGAGAAGGCAATGGGAAACCAATCCACTATCTTTCCCAAAATTCATGGCAATTCACAAATGAAGCAATAGATACCTGAAGAGCCATGATCACCTATTTTAAGAGACATGGCATTAAAAGAAAAAAAATAAAAGAAAAAAAAAGTTTAATCCGAAAATAGACTGAGATCTCTAGCCCTGGTTGGCAACTAGTCTAAGAGAAAGAAAAAACTAAATACAAAACCGGAGAAGTCAATAAGAAACCGCTCCACATCTTTTCTATGAATATATGACAATTCACAGATAATAAAGAAAAGGACTCTGTGGAGAGCCATGATCATCTATGTTTTGAAGAGAGATGGCAATAAAACAGGGAAAAATAATTAAAAATCAATTAAGATCTCTAACCTTGGTTGACAACAAGTCTAAGAGAAATAAAACTAAAATCAAAAGCATATATAGGAAATTACACCATTATCTTTCCCAAGAAGTCCTGACAAATTAAAGATAGTAATGAAAATGGACTCTGTGGAAAGCCATGATTGCATATGTGCTGAAGGGATACAACATTACAAAAACAATCAGGAGAAGCAAAATGAGCTATGTGGAAAGACATGATCGCATATCTGCTGAAGGGATATAACATTATAAAAACAATCGGGAGAAGCAAAATGAGCTCTGTACATATGCGTTCATGGCTTTCCACATAGCTCATTTTGCTTCTCCTGATTGTGGAAAGCCATGATCGCATATGTACAATCAGGAGAATCAAAATGAGCTCTGTGGAAAGCCATGATTGCATATGTGCTGAAGGGATACAACATTACAAAAACAATCAGGAGAAGCAAAATGAGCTCTGTGGAAAGCCATGATCGCATATGTACAATCAGAAGCAAAATGAGCTCTGTGGAAAGCCATGATCGCATATCTGCTGAAGGGATATGACATTATAAAAACAATCAGGAGAAGCAAAATGGATAAAGTGGAAACAAAGACAGAAAAAAAAAACTATCTGGCAGATTTATAGCATAGATAGTATACATGACATAAGAAACGCTCATTGTAGAGGATGCATTTTCATCTCATCTGAAACTACTGAATCCTTTTATGCATCATGGCTCTCCATATCTCGTTTATAGCTCTATGCCTCCTAGTGCCTGTTCTGCCCTCCATTTACTTACATAGGTTACTTGATCTTGCCTTCAGTATGTTCTATGAGTGTCAAATTCTCCAAGCCCTCTATTCTCATGTATTCCAGAAATGCCAATTGTCTCTTTTCTGATACTAAGTATAAGGGACCTTTTTGTTTCCATTTTCGTTAAAACTTATCGCTTATGATTCTATAGAAGGATGGAACATACATCTGTTGCCTCAAATTTCCTTTTAATCTGTCCAGTGTTTGTTGCCACATTGAGGATTGGTATTATATCACAGTTCAGCAATCTTCTCTCCATTTCTAATTTTCCTTCTTAATACATTGCTTAACTTTTGGAAGACATCTTCACTATTCCTGCAAGGGTCTTCCTTGTTTCCATTTTTCTTAAAACTTCCTCATTGCTTACATTTTCTGCCTATGGTATTCTCAACATCCTTCTGCTACAGTATTTTAAAGACTGAGGAAATTTGTAGCATTTAACCAAATATTTAATAAAACTCAAAATTCTGACAAGACCTCTAAACTTCATTTTTACAGGTGCATCTTTATCATGGGGTCCCCTCTTTCGAGAGATTCCCCTCACTGTCTTATTTGGTGTCTTCCTTTATCTTGGAGTGTCCTCAATGAGTGGTGTACAGATGTATGAGCGAACCAAATTGCTTTTGATGCCTGTCAAACACCACCCCTCAGTTGGTTACGTTCGAAGAGTAAGTACTTTTATTTCTCCTTTTAACAACTGGATAAGGATTTATAAAATTCATCTTCTGTAACATAAATAAACAGAAACACTTCTCATACAGTTTTACAATACAAGTTTTTATGTAAAACCTTTTCAACACCCACATAAATACCACTTATGGCAGCATTTGCTCAATGTCAAGTCATTTCACATCATAACAGTGAGCCCTTGCCTATTTGCGTTTCAGCATTCGTGTCTTCATACATTCAAAGAATTTTCTTTAGAACATATGTACATGTTATTTGAGGAAACACCAAATATTCGTGTGTTTTTCTGAAGAACATATGTACAAATTATTTGCTGAGAACATCTTTATATAACTGTCCATTTTTATAGTAAAAATTGGCAGAATTGTACTGTGACACTATTTAGCTATGGTAATTGGCTAACTAATTAACCAATGAAATTAAAAACAGGAATGACTTAAGGCAAGAAAGAGCTATATCGAAAGATAGACTGAGCGACGTTAAAAAGAAGATTTTATTTATTTACGAAGAAAGATACGGATTGTCTGTCTTGTGCGAAAAGTAAGAAAAAGCAAGGTATGAGATTCTGTCAAAACTGATTAATGCCAGGGTAAGGGAATGATGCTCCAAGAGAAACAGAATTCAGAAAGAAAAACAAAGCCAGCTGACACATGGCAGTCATAAAAAAATTTCAGCTTGAGATGACCAATATAGGCAGAGAGAATCGATATTAGTTATCTTTCAGAGATATCATTTAATTTTAATTCCTGGGTCCAACGAAGGGAAATCGTCTGGTATGTGTTAGAATTCTGGCATGAGAAAGAAAATCGTAAAGGAAATTATTATTATTGCTTATTCAAACTGTTGACGTCAGACACATTGTTGTCAAAAATGGGCATCTGGTGATAAGAGGATTTTAAGTCATGAGAAAAATAAAGACTTTGATTGTCAGGTAAAACATGGACCACCCAGTTAAAAGTTGACTTAGCAGAGAAGCCAGATGTGGGGTTTTGACAGTGATTGATGAGTTGGTAGAGAGACCTGACTAAGTAAATTTTGGGTGTCCCCAAAAGAAAGATGTGATAAGAATTATTTGGCAATCTGGGGTTTGTGAAAAAAATGTTTTGGAAAAAGGATTTTGTAAACAAAATTCTGGATAATAATTTTAAGAGGGCCAGTCTAGCCACACCCACACTGCCGAGAGATCATTGGTCAAGGAGTAGCATGGGTGATAGGCGGATGTGAATGTATGAGAAAGATGGAAAAGTTGTTAACATCCACTGAAGGGATTGGTATGAGATACCAATGTGAGAGAGGAAGAGTCTAGGAGGATAACTCTCCTCTGACCTTCCCTTATGGATGAGGGAGAACCCCCCCCCAAGTGGAAAGTGATTAATCTTCCAAAAATGAGAAGTAATTAATTTTCTTGGCCTAAGAACAAAGAGAATTCATGTTGGGAATCGAGAATTATCAAGGAACCCAAACCATGTCAGGTCCCACACCGGGTTTTGGTCGGTACACATATAAACGAATGTCCCCGGGCAGTTTAGCAGTTGGAGTTCAGTTCCAGAGAGAGACGGTCAGCTTCTGTGAGGCAACACTAAGAAATTCCACGTCCTTCCAACTTCAACTTCCTACCAAAAGCAAGTTATATTGACGAACGACTTAAGATACCAAAACTCGCTTAAGAAATGCAAAAGCGTCACAAATCTATAGAAACGGGCTGGGAGAAAAACCACACTCCTGTAGATAACAGACAGATAAAGATAATTTGTTATTTCGCAACATATTTGAACCTCCTGAGTTTTGTTTTATTGCTTCTTTTACTTACGCTTGTGTGATATCACCTTCACCCCAGATTTAGCTTGCACTACGGCCCGATGCCTGATTGATTTCGTCTACCTAAGATCAAAGTCACAACATGGGTAGGTTAGATTTGAGATCAAAGCAGTTACTTTGGTAACCAGACATTGGAGGTGAGCTGGGAATGATCAGATTGACTGGGACACAGGCTGGTGGCAGCGACAAGGAGTCAACCCCAAACACTGGTGGAAGAAAACTTACAGCTTCGCACCGCAACTGGGAGTTGACCATGGCGCAGTGTCACATATTGGCGCTGCAACCACCAGTGGGTGTCACAGTACATCTTCATTGTAAAAAATAAATGCAGAAACATGCATAGTGCTTGGATCCTGTTTTTTGTTAGTGGCTGGGATCTTAAAAGTGGCTTATGCTAAGACTGGGGGTATCATCACAGTTCTGTTTTTAGAAAATGTTTTAAACTTTATATCTTATGTCTTGTTACACATATTTTATAAAGTATTTTCAATGGTTGTATCAATCTATGTGTAATTAAAAACGGTTATTGTATGTATGAAATAAAATTTACACCAAAACATTGTGAATATGGCAATAAAGATGAGGACAACTGTCTGAATAATGTAAATAGTTACAATACCTCATCTCAGAATTACAGACAGATCCTGAAGAAGCTGAAACATCATGAATATGACAAAGATAAAGACAACAGTCTGAACAATGTAAATAGTGACAATACCTCATCTCAGAAATATAGGCAGATCCTGAAAAAGGCCAGAGTATACAATGGTGAAAACATTGTGAATATAGCAATAAAGATAAGGACAATTGTCCGAACAATGTAAATATGAAAGTTTTCCAAACACCAGACAGGAATCTGTTCCACAAAATTTAAAGACAATGAGAAACTGCTTCAAAAAAATCCTTGTTTTGTATTATATGACCATTATAGAGGAATCAATGTGCCATTAAATTGCATTCAGAATTAAAACCTTGAGATGTGATTAAATATGTTCTGTGCTTTTTTTTCTTTCTTCATACTTTTGATTAACTTTTATGACATCTATCTTCCTAATTGTTTTATTAATTGCTATAAATTGTTTTCTCATTTCACCTGACAGGTGCGTACATTACGGATGCATCTTTATACCTTCACACAACTGTCCTTATTAGTTGTCCTGTGGGTCGTCAAGTCCACGGAGGCTGCTCTTGCCTTTCCATTCCTGCTTATTCTTTTAGTGCCCCTCCGATTAAAGCTTCTCACCTTTATTTTCACTGAGAAAGAACTCCATGAAGTAAGTATGACAAGTGAATTATCTCCCTTTGTAAATTACGTCCCTTGGTAAAAGCTTGTGAGATTGAAAATACACTTTAGATTTCAAATATACTTTTTTCTAGGCAGAATGAATGGAATAAAATGACATCACATTGAACTAATATTCCCCCACACACCTTTCATTATATGCTTAGGTTTTATTACAGTTCCAATCATTGAATAAAAACAACAAATATTTCTGAGGAGTGAAGGTAGTTAAAATAATAGCAGCATCAAGAAAAAAAACGTCCTTTTGACATTCCATTTTTTTGCGGGTACAGAGGCCCAAGTTTGCCAAATTATGAATAAAAACTTGTTTTCATAGTTAGTTATAAAATGGTAAATAATTTTGCATTGTTGTTGGTTTACATATTTTGGTAATTTTATAAATAAAATCAATTTAAAAAGTTATTTCTTTATAAAATGATAAATAATATTGCATTATATTTGGTTCACAAATTTTTATAATCTTGTAAATAAACATTGCTGAAGAAGGAGTCAAAGTGTATAAAGTGGAGTCAAAGGAATAACTGTCTTTTTGACACACCATTTTATTGCAGACCCAAAGGCTAAATGTTGCCAAAGGAATATTTGACTTAGTCGATACACTAATTCAGCCTATTTTCCCAAAGCAATACAAATAGAAAAGTATTTTTAAAGCACACTGATCTCCCCATTAAGGCAGATTTTGACACAAGGTCATTTTTTTTTTTCTTTACATTGAATGCCCATACACATGCTTATGGACCAAGGACAAAAATTGCTCACTGTCATGCTGATGTTGATATTACACCAACCACCTTCTCCAAAATGAGAGAACAGATACTACACTTTGATCTTAGCTAAAAGGATGAGAAGTGGCCAAGTAGATCTTACTGTCCATGTCCTAAGTAAAATGACAAGGGACATGATCCATGTGTAATTATATGTAGATATATATTTTATCTTGCATCTTTTGGTTTATTCTATTTATTATTTATGTAGACAAAATCTTGTAAATAACCATGAATGATGTCATGAAGAAACATTTGGGAAAAAAAAAAAAAATCAAGTACAACGGTAATGTTAGCCTATAAGGAAATATTTGGCATTCCTTAACTGAACAGCTAATACTACTATTGGTTTTTCAGGAAAATAAGTTTTTCAAGTCCAGTAGCTGTTATTGCTCTTTCCAGTATTGATGGGGTTTTCCTTCCTAATCTTTTGTTTGAAGTAGTGTTGAACATCTATATCTTGAGAAGAGAAAATAATGACATAATCAAGTCCAGTAACTGTTATCACCTTTTCCAGTATTGATAAGGGTTTCCTTTTTAACCTTTAATTTGAAGTAGTGTGCTAACCTGTTGGTATATTATTAGTATATTTAGTCATTTTATTTCTTCAAGCTCAAAAGAGAGGAACAAGAACTGGTCAGCTTTATCTTTTTTTAAAAATTTTCTTATTTTCTTTATTTCCATTTTTCTCATTTTAATAAATGTTGGTTTTTATAGCCTCAATTAAATTTGACACCCTTAATGAATTTTTCTTTTTGTGTGTGTTCTTGCAGTTAGACAAAGAAGAAGAAGATAGTGAAGAAGAAGAAGATGAACCTGATTTTTACCAACTGGCCCACATGCCTATTTAGGTACCCTAACGCTCCACCCTTGCTTGCCTTCCTGCTTCTTTTATATTGCAATTGGGGGGGGTCATGTAAGGCCCTGAATCAACTGCAAGTTGGTGCTGAAGAAAGAAGAAAAATCTCAGAGACCAACCAAAACTGTCAAAGAATTGTGCAAGGAACAATTCGTTTGGATAGAATTCAGAAGCAGAATTTGTACAGGCTGATTAATTTGCTACCAGTCTGGTTTCAAGGATTTTCTTGTTTTTTTTTTTTTTCTTTGGGTTTTCAACTCAAAAATTGCTACTGAAGAAATTCTTCATTATTTAGAAAGAGCAAAAGAAGTGAACGAAAGAAGGGAACAAACGTTAAAAAACAAAAATTATTTTTTTTTTGTTGTTAATGAAAAAAAATCAATATATTTGGTCTTTAAAAAAAAAAATGAAAAAAATTGATTTTTTCTTTTTATCAGAAAAGAAAAAAAAACTTCAAATTTAAAAAGAAAAATAAAAAGGCATGAAAATAGCAAAAACCCAAAAACAATGGATGACAATCGAAATTTTTTAACGCGAAAAAAATACATTTGACACACATTCTAGTTCTTTTAGAAAAATTATTATTATTATTATTATTCTGTTTACCCCGGTCTGCTCGAAGAGTCCTGTGATGAAGAGTGGGTGGGGGGGATGCACTGAATTTCATAAAATTGTTGACATTTTCAAATATAAATTTTCAGTGAAAAAAAAAATAAAAAAAAAAATAAATAAATAAATGAAACAATAATTTTTTATACATAAAATAGCAAAGTTTACAAGATGAAAGAAATAGTTTTGTATGTTATGTAAAACCTATAAATGTGTGCATGTCTATATATATATATTATATATAGTCTAACTTTTTTAGTATGACTGACAATATCAGTATAAGAGTCAAGATATGTGAGGGTGTCTGGGTTTTAAAACAATTTGCCGAAAAGAAATTTTTGTGTGAAAAAAAAAAAAAAAAGTTGAAACTCTCCCTAAAACAGGATCCTTCCTTTTATATAAAAATATATATATATATATATATATATATATATATATTATGAAATGGACAAAAGTCCGACAATTATTTTTAAGACATTTTTATGTTTAACATTCTTTTTATAGATACAAATATGTATATGAAAATTTCGTGGACATTCAGGCCGGTAAATGTTATTTAATACTGTTTATTATAAACAGAGCATTTACTTAAATATTTTATCTATAAAAAGAATGTTAGACATAAAAATGTCTTAAAATATATATATAATATACATATATATATATATATATATATATGAAAAAACAAAAGGAAAACTTTTTATGGCAATGTATTTCATTGAGGAACTTTATCAAGGAAAGATGGAAATTTTATTTCATAACCTGTATTTATGCACGGAAAAAAAAAAAAAAAAAAAAAAAAAAAATTAAATTTTGGAATGCAGAATGCTCTATAATATTCTAAAAGCTTACTGTGTAAGTAAAGGTAAAATATAGAGAAGGCTAAGTAGAAAAATAAGATTCTACACCTGCCTTGATACACTTCCACAAGGAACAAAATGCATTGGCATAAGTTTTCCTCTCATCTTTTCTTTATATATATGCCTATTTGCTTGGATATTTACACATAGTCTGAGCAGTTTTCTGAACCTATTTTTAGGTCTAAGTTAAAATTACGAACTGAGGAAAACTAATTATATATATATATATATATATATATATATATATATATATATATATATATATATATATATATATATATATATATATAAAGTGAATTCTTATTTGCTTGGGCATTGCTGAGGATAATTTTTTTTTTTTTTGTTATTGTTGTTAAATTTATCTGAATATTATTATCTCCTGTACTATGAGTCTTTTTTTTTTTTTTTTTTTTTTTTTTAACACTAACTTTTCTTTTTCCTATCCTTGTTAAAAAAAAAAAAAAAATCATTTTCAAAAATAATTTTACTCCCTTTCTTTATATATTCACACAAACATACACAAACACACAGACTCGTTTATGTCTATTGGATAACTTTTGATATTTTTTCTTATATATTTTTTTTTCTTATTTAGGGGAAAGGGTGCATATAAAAATTTTATAAAAAAAAAAAAAATAATTTTTATGAAAAAGAAAATTTGGAGGATTTGTTTTTCCTCCACCCCAAGAAAAAAAATGAAACGTGATAGGGGTGGAAAAAAGTTGGCATGGAGGTGGAAACCCTCCAAGGTAAAAAAAAAAGTTTTAATTTTTTTTGATTTTGTCAATTTTTTTTTTTTTTTTTTTTATTTTCCAGTTATTGTTTTCCTTTTTTAATTTTTCATCTTTTAAACGGAAAAAAGTAATTTCTTTTTTTAAATCTCAGCACATAATCAAGAAGTAAAAGAAAAATAATAATTTAACCTTGTCTAGCCCAACCCATACACCAGCTTCAAAAGAAAAAAATGTTTCTTTTGTATTTGGGGGGGGGGAGTCCAGGGGTGAAATCACGGTCCCACAGTCCTCTATACAGAGGACCTTTCTCTCCCTGCAGCCCTAAAAGGCAATAGGAAATAGCTTAGTAACAAAGAAAAGTTTAAAAAAAAAACAAAAAAAAAAAAAACAATTTGCAGTTTTTGTTTGACACACTGCTATCATTATTATGCACGGATCAATTGTTTTTATATTATTTTAAAAATAGGAGAATCATACAAACCTCTCAAAAAAAAAAAGAAAAAAAAAATCTTCAACATCAAATGAAAGTTATTTTTTGGAAAAAGAGCCATTTTTTTGTGTTTAACTTTCTTTTCTATTTTTTGTTTAATTCTGTTTCTTTTTTTGTTGTTTTTTTTTTTAATTTTGTTTAAAAAGAAAAAAAATTTTCATTTCTGTCAAATTTGTCTTTTGTTTATTTATTTTTGTTTTTTTTCTTCTTTTCTCTTGATTAATTATGCACACACACACACACACACAACTTGGTGCAACCCAAACTTAAGGTATGAAATAATTTCTTCAAAGAAAAAAAAAAATAATGGAAAGTTAAATTCTTCATTTTCTGGTGGAGTGATCTCTAATACATTCAGAAAGACATGGGAAATCTGAGGTAATTTAAATCTTTGAAGAATTGTGAGTTTTATATTTCATCTTCTAGGTATCTATATAGTAGGTCCTTTTTAATACTAACTTTTTGTATCTTAGAACACAGCAGATTCATATTCTGTCCTAAGAGTTTGTTTAGTACCTTGGTAGATCACCAGATAGCAAAGTATTTCACAGGAGAGGCAGACAAAACATTATTGGAAAAGCTAACAAACAAAAAGTTTTAGCAATCTGTTTAATTTCCCTGAACTTTTGAACAGCATCTCATATATAGGGTTGTTTGTTTCTTATACACAAGGCCAATTAAAAGAAAAAAAACTTGGACCGTTTAACTTCAACAAACATAAGAAAAAAAAAAACAATCCCTTCACATACAGAAGACATAAACATAGGATCACATCCTCAACACACTAGCCATGAGAGTAAGTGTGAGCACATGTGTGTGTGTGTGTGTATATATATATATATATGAGAGAGAGCAAGCGAGTACCAGTGTACACAGAGGAGTTATATATTAAAAAAATTAATGTATAGGTACACACATTATATATATATAATGCATACATACATTTATAGGTATGAAAAAATATATAGAGACAGAGACGTAGTAACAGAATAATTGATGTCTACTGGCCTGATTTTTTAAGAGACATCAATAAAGAAAATACACTGTCACAGAGCACATCACCTTTATAAAAGACTCTTGCAAAACCAGGCAAGTAACATATATATATATATATATATATATATAATTACGTGTGTGTGTATATATATATATATATATATATATATATATATAATTACGTGTGTGTGTATGTGTATATACATATAAAATTTACATAACAATTACATTTTAAGTAAATTCCATGAGGAAAAAAAAAATTAAATCTAACATGAGAACCCCCTGTAATTGTAGAAATAAGAAAAACTGCCCAGTAAAGGGCAAATGCAGATCCACTAGGGTAGTATACCAGGCAACCATTACCCCTAAAGAAAATACAACAAAGCATAATGTTTACATCAGCATTTCTGCAGGAGAATTTAAAAAGAGAATCAATACACAGACATTTATTCACTAATCCAAAATTAAAATGCTAAACAGCACTTTTGAAAAAATTTTGGGAATTGAAAGAAAAGGGTCCGAATCCTCAAAGAAATTGGAAAATTTTAACTATGTTTAGAAGAGAAAAATCAGGATAATAAAATATAAAGATCAATGCAAACTATTAAATCAATGGAGAGAACTAATGAAATGTAGACATAGAAATAGATTCAAAATTACATAAGAATACATCTGTGTGTTGTGTGTGTGTGCATATAGTGGCATATATGTATGTATGCATATATATAAACGTGAAGATATGTACGTATATATAAGTGTTGGACAGCATGATTTATTCCATTAGATGCTCTGGTATTACCCACGACCTATAAATCTCTCATTCAACAAATTTACCTTAATCTTAATTGGTTTAAGTTTAAATCCCCCATCACTTATTAATAATATTGGACCATTGTAGTATAAAAACTATTTACTGTGAATCCCAGGAAAACACACTTAGTGCTTGTATAGGAAACGCCACATAGTAGGAACCGAAATTTATCTATAAACAATGAAAGACTCCAGCCATAAATAAACTCCAGCCCACTTCCCCAGAATAACATACCTTACACTCTCCACCAGTTGCTAACACAAGCCCCTCCTCATTGACAAGGCATCTACCAAAGAAGGGCCAACATTGAAATTAAATTTAAAACAATGCTTCAAGAGAGACACTTATGGGCTGATGATAGCGGTGTACAGACCAGCTTGAAATAGACTATTCCCATGTTGAGGTAATCTTTGTTTTTTTTTGTTGTAAAAAAAATAATAAAAAATACATATGCTGTGTTATAATAAATACATCGAGCTCTCTGTGGATCAG